AGCCACCATTTTATGTTTTCTCTTAAATAGGATCAGCTTCACTATTCTACACTAATCACCATTAGGATAAAATGGTGACTGTTCCTCCAAAAACCTGATCTATTATCTTTATAAAGGAAAGCTAAAAATCCATGTAAGACTATCATATTGACTCTGTTATAAAAATATTTTCTAATCAATCCCAGTAAAACAATTACAGCCAGAAGATTAACCCAACATGTGGGTACTGACTTGTAAATATAGAGTTTTAAGAAGAAAAAGACAATAAGACTATCTTCTCAAAAAGAGCAATTCCCTTTACCCTTCCAGTAAGTAAACAGAACTCCCTATTGAGGGAATATGAGGCCAGGGTTACAGCACCCCCACCTCTGCTCCCAGAAAGGAAAGGGCCAGCAAGTGAAGCCACTAGACTGCTTGACAATGCAGGCACAGCATAAGAGAGTTTATTAGGAGCTAAACAAATTCTAGGTAAGCTTTCAACTCATAAATAAAGACTGAGGGAGAAAATGTGTAGAAGGTAAACATAAAAAAACAGTAAGAACAGACATGGATAAAAAGGAGTCTAGAAAATACTAATGAAAATGGGTTCTCACTGGAGAGAAGCTGAAATCAGATTAGTTAGTACCTATACAATTAAAAAGGGTTATCCACAGTGTCATCTGTGTACACTGCTGGCACAAAGTGAGGAGACATACAAATTGGACCAATTTAAGAGCTTTGATCAAAAATTCAAACTAAAGACCCAGACACGAAACAATGTTACTCCTTCAAAGATGAAAACATACTTTAATGTAAACAGCCTGGCATTTACCTTCTGACTTACGAATAAACTATGCCTCCCCAACTATATAATAAGGTATTTTAGGACAAAGATTAATGATGACGATAAGTAAATAGGATTAAGACAAAACAGGTTGAACTGACAAGAAACGCTAGGGCCCAGAAAAAAAAAAACTGAAAGCAGATGCAACAGCTCATCCTTGGGAAGAATTATTTAGCGCTCTGAATCTATATCAAGCTTCCCAAGTAACAGGAAACCCTATTTGTAATTTCTTCAGCTGGTGATAGCTTTTATGTCTAAATTACCACACTCTACTATGAAACTAAGGAAATCATTAGGGAAAACAAGGAAAAAGGACCTAAATTAAGACTGAAGAATCAGAAAATGATTCTTTGGAGAAGGAGCCCTAAGATAATATATGGAACTGGTAATAACTACGAGAAAGCTTCCCAGTAGAGTAAACTAGTGTTTGCAAAGACCTAGTAGAAACAAAGAAAGCACAGCAAGTTCTAAAAACAGAATATTCCTGAATGGGTGGAGTATACAGTGTAAGAAAAGGCAAAGGAAATGAGGGAGATGATAGAAATAAACAGGAGTCCTTTCACAAAAAGCCTTGAAAGTATGTTAACAAGCGTGAACTTCATCCTAAGAACAATGATGGGTTTTACACAGAAAAGTAATAGAACCAGATTTTCTAATGTTTTACAAAGGTCATTCTAGCTTAAATAGAATGGGGGGGGGGGAGGGCGATTCCAGAAAGAAATACCACCCATAATAGAGAAAACAGAGAAGTAATATTCAGAAATACTAAGAATGTTCCAGAAATGATGAAGGATTTTAATCCTCAGATTCAGGAAAACCAATTTAAGCTAAGTAGGATTAAGAAAAAAATTTAAAGGGTGGGTGGCACCTGGGTGGTTCTGACAGTTAATCTGACTCCTGATTTTGGCTCAGGTAATGATCTCATGGTTTGAGAGATGGAGCCCGCGTTGGGCTCTGTGCTGACATTATGGAGCCTGCTTGGGATTCTCTCTCCCTCATTACTCCCCACTCAAAATAAATAAATAAACTTAAAAATAAATGAAAAGCCACAACTAAACAAGTCCCAAAGAAACTACAAGGTATTAAGACAAAGAGAATATTAAAAGTGACCAGTAAAAAAAGAAAAGAAACAACCACTAAGCTGACAGATGACTTCTCAACAGCAACAATGGAAGCCAGAGGTCAGTGGAATAATATCTTTAAAAGACCTGAGAAATTCCTTAATATATAAAGAAAAATTAAATCTATCCTCTGAACTATGTATACAGTAATAATGAGCACTTACAATAGCCGGACAGTAGTCTCTAAACACCACTGCCCACTAAACTGAAAGACTAAGGACAAACTGAGAAGGATCATCATGGAGATTTTGACATTCTCTCTCTCAATAACTAACTGAAAAAAAAAAATCATACAAAAAAATGTCAGTAAGTAACACAGAGAATTTGAATGCTACGATTAACAGTGTATGCGTTGGGGCATCTGGGTGGCTCAGCCTGTTGAGCATCCAATTCCTGATTTCAGCTCAGATCATGATCCCAGGGTTGTGGGATCAAACCCTGTAACAGGCTTGCCTGCTGAGCATGGAGCCTGCTTAATATTCTCTCTCTCTTTCTCTCTCTCTCTCCGCCCCCCCCCCGCCACCATCCCCAGATTGTGTTAATGTGCGCAAGCGCTCTCTCTCAAATAAAGAAAAAAATAATAATAATGTGTGTATTAGTGCACATGTGGGCATATGTATATGCATTCATTTCTAGCTGAAGTAACAAAACTATGCAAGTATGGCAGTGCAAAATATAGGATTGCTTCAGGAGAGAGAACAGAGTGTGTAGTAATGATACTATTAAAAATACAAATTAGGGCAATACTGGAAAGCATACTAAAGGATCATGCTTTAATTGCATGCAGGTAGGGATCATGCAATAATTAAATGCTGAGTTAATAAGGAACCTACAATGGTTAAGAGAACTGGAAAACAAGAAGGTGGAAAATATAAACTATAGGTGGAAAGATAAATTGTCAAATGATGAAAAACAGTATACACAACATAATTCCTCTTTATTTTTAAGAAGTGTATACACGTGTGTATAAATGTGTTTATAAAATAAAATTTGGAATGATACCCACAAAACTCCAGCGGTGACATCTGGAGGTGCGCAGGCAAGAGGGGAAAGTAGTATTTTCATTTAATCATGTTTCATTTTTTTGACTTTTTTTCTTTTAGAGTACACTTAGTACTTTTATAATACGAAAAAGCATGTAAAATTAAAAATTAAAAAGAAAAGGACACAATAAAATGTTCTGGAAAAAGCTAGAGTTTAACTCCACTAGTTTTCTATGTCTGTAATTAGCATTTCAAATGGCTATCAACAAGCCAGCTGATCTACTTCCATTACCTGAGAGATAACAGGATACTCTACTAGTAATGAGAAACTCCAAAAAAAAAAAAAAGGTAACTTTGGGGGAAAAAATTTCCTAATAGTCATCAAAACTGAACAGTATGCTAAAATCATCATCTATGGCAATTTTACCTTTAACAGTCTTTTAGTTAACACAGGTGTGCCTGGGTGGCTCAGCTGGTTAAGCTTTGACGTCACCTCAGGTCATGATCTCATGGTCTCTGAGTTCAAGCTTGCATCAGGCTTTCTGCTGTCAGCACAGAGCCCGCTTCAGCCTCTGTCTCCCGCCCCTCTCTGCCTCTCCCCTGCTCACACACACTCTCTCTCTCTCTCAAAAATAACTATTAAAAAAAAAAAGTTAACACATACTTTTTATAATTGATCCAACACAAAGATTATAAGAGAAAATAATTTCATGACGGTACCCCATCTAATTTAATTTCCTTAGGGTAACCAGTGTTATTTTAATATACATACTGACATATCATTTCGACTGTTCATATACAGAGCTTATTTTTTGTGTTTTCATAAAAAGAGAATTATATACGCATTAGTTTATATCTGGCTACTTACTCATCAGGATAGTTTTTAGATATATTTACTTAATGCTGCAAAAAAAATACTTTTTTATTCTCTAACACAAAATAGTTTAATTTGGAGCTTTTTAAGTTATTTTGTTTGAAAACAGTAGAAAATTTTTAAAAATTTAATCTAGAACACTTGGGCTAATAAAAATGACAAACAGAACACAATAACTACCTGGTTACTAAAGGGTTAAGTTTTTTCTTTTTATCTTTCTTATTCGTTTATATGCTTATTTATTATTTTTACAATACACCTTTCTAAGCTACAAACTATCAAGTTTGTTTAAATTATGATCAGGTTACTTAAGTAACCTAATACACCACATACTCACTCAGGCCATGCCAAACTGGTGCCCCTAAGAAATCCCCAGGAAGCTACAGGGAGTGTCTCATCAATTCCACAGAGAGCTGAGTCAGATTCTGAAATACTGCCTCAAATAGTACTCACACAAATTAGATAAAGTGACCTATGAAGTCACTTGTAACCACCCCAATTCAGGAACTCGTGGCCCCAAAGAAATAATAACCAGTCTTTTGCCCAGGCCAACTTTTACTATATACAGGATAGACCTTCCACTCAATCCCAACAAGAATATCTCATCAAAGGTTTTAATGCATATGGAAAATGTAGTAAATTTCAATTTTCCAAAAATGTCTAAGTTACTCTTACCCATCATCTTTTTCCCTAGCTAAAAAAACAAAATCGTTTTCCTCACTGCAGCACCATCACTTAGACAGTTATACCTATCTATATTAAAGGAATTACAATACATACAAAAGACCTATGTGCAGATCCTTTAAATACTATTATCATTACCCACTCTCATTTCTATCCACCACTGTATGTGATAGTTACAAATACACCGTGTGTCTGACTTTGTTTTTAAAAACAGACATGTTCATTCAAAGGCAATGGAGAAAATACATTCCTATTAAAAGCATCCTATCTTCTTCAAAAATCTCTATAGTTTCAACAAACTTTTTTTCTTTCTTCCTTTACTTTTTCATGGGGGGGGGGGGGGGGGGGGGGTGGATGTCTTACACACTGCCGTGAATATGAGTGCTTCATCACTCTAACACTATTTGAAAAAATGAAAACAATGGCAGGCATACATTTTCATTTAACATGACAAAGTTGAGGTAATTACTTTTTTTCTTAAAGTTTACTACTATCAATATGTACTCAAAACTTACTTCCAATTCTTTAATTTTTTCTTCTGCTATTTTCTGTTTCTCTAAGAGCTGATTGTGAATTACCTCCTTGGACTGAAGAATAAACCTACGAAACAAGAAAGTTGAAGATTAAGCCACATAACCACTATAATCAAAATCAACAGCTAAATATCAAAAAATATTAAACTAAGAAAATTAAAAGGATGATCTCCTAATTCAGGACCAATAAAATGCATTGCTTTGTTAATGTAACATACCCAGGAAACCACCACAGGTTTAAGCCCTCTTGGCTGAGGACTAAAGTTTAAAAGAAAATTCTGCTTTCTTGTCTAAGAAGGGAAGCAGGCTTTAAGCAAGATTCATAAACAAATGAAAAAAATTAAAGGGATAAAAATTTATCACAGGCTAAGAGAAAAGTTAAATAATAAAAATCGCCCATAATTTTTATTTTTTCAATTGTCTGCATCAACTTTTCTCCAGATATTTTTTTAAACAATATTTGTAAATTGGAGCTCCCCCTCCAATTTTTTTTTTACTTTTTTTGTAACAGCAGTAACTCATGACCTTTTAAAGTCACAATCAAGTACTGTGTTAGGATCAATGCATTAGTGTTTATACGAGTTCCTCAAACAAAAAGCACAGTATAAAGCCTAGTATCTTTTATTATTATTTCCAGAGTGTATAATACCTCTGAAAAGCTCAAAATGCACAAGTGGAAAGTTTCAACTTTTTCCATTTTACAATCAAGCACATTATTTATAACTGATGAGAGTGGAAATATAGGGAAGCTTTAAAAATTAGCACTGAATCTGTTTGGTACACTTATGTTCATAATTCTTGCTGTAGGGAAAGGAAGAATAAACTATTCTGTAGACTCAAAAAAGTGAAATGAAGTATTTCCTTTCAAATGAGTGTCCAACTTGGCGATAATAGATTTCAATGAAAGATTACATTTAATTAAACAGATGGTTTCTTCTCTTTGCATGTAACTTAGAGTTTAGCAACAAAGAACATCATTTCTTCTTCTTCTTTTTACTCAAGTATAACTGACAAGCAACTTTCTATTAATCTCATGTGTACAACACAATGATTCAATATTTGGATATACTATAAACAGATCACCACAGTAAATCTAGTTATCATCTCTCATTGTACTCCCCATGCTATATATTATATAACCAAGACTTAGTTATTTTATAACTGGAAATTTGTATGTCTTGATCCCCTTCACCAATTTTGTCCCCTTCAAGCAGTTTCTGACCCCCTAGATTCTCTGCATCTGAGTCTGGGTTTATTTCTTTGTTCTGTTTTAGATTCCACTCATAGTGAAATCATTTGGTATTTGTCCTTCTCTGTCTGACTTATTTCACTTAGCCAATATTTCATTAGTTTTTATGGCTGAGTACCATTCTAGTGTGTGTCTGTATGTCTGCCCTCATGCACGTGCACATGTGTTTTCATATACCTGTTGGCCATCTGCAGGTCTTCTTTGGAAAAATGTCTACTCAGATCCTCTGCTCATTTTTTAAGTAAATTGTTTGGTTTTTATTTTTTCTTTTTGTTACGGAGTTATAGGAGTTCTTTACATATTTTGGATACTAACCCCTTATCAAACATGATTTGCAAATATCTTTTCCTATTCAGGAATTACCTTTTCATTATGTTGGTTTCCTTTGCTATACAGAACCTTTTTAGTTTAATGTAATCCCAATCATTTATTTTTGCTTTAATTACCTCTGCCTTTGGAGTTAGACACCATCCCCCCACCAAAAAAAAAGAATCACTAAGATGATACTAGGGGCTTACTGCCTATGTTTTTCTTCTAGGATTTTTACTGGTTTCAAGTCTTACACTTACATTTTTAATCCACTTTAAGTTAATTTTTGTATATGATGTAAGACAATAGCTCAGTTTTCCCAACACCATTTATTGAAAGTGACTATCCTTTCCCTGGTACATATTCTTGCCTCCTTCACCATAAATTAACTGACCATATATGCGTGAGTTTACTTCTGGGTTCTCTATTTCACAGATGTGTGCATCTGCTTTTAACAGAAAGATGAATAAGAAAATATATCAAGGCAGCAATATGCAGTTTTCTCTACCAACCTCACAAAAAGAACAACAACAAAAAAAAACACCGTGTCTAGGGTAGGTTTTTACCAAGAGAATCTGTTGTTATAAATATAAAAGAAGTAAAAACAGACCAAAAATAGCAACTCCAGCTTTGTCCACAGACACCTCAGAGAAAATTGCTTCCTTCCACTCTTCTTTATGACTGAATACATCTTGGCATATATAATACAATCTGGTAAATTTCTCTTTCATTCCACGATAATTAACCTTGTTAATGTCCTCCTAATGTGGATAGTCCAGATAATTTAACTGATGATCCTGGTCTTCAGTAACTTAATCCTTTGTTAAAATCTTATTCATATAATCACTGCAAAGATAGCCCACTTTTATGTGAAACAGGATTACTATACAATCCTTTGTGTCCAAAATGTTACTATTTGACCAAGGACAGGTGTGCTGTTTCTGATGAGACCATTTTTTATAGAACATTTTTTCCTCAGACAATATTTGAAGAGGAAAGTGTTTTACTACTGTATTAACTCTTAGTGACACCATGTTAAAAGTATTATAAATCTAGGCCCCAAAGTCACCAAATTATGTTAGTTCATGCACAATTTTACTAACAGCCTTTTAGACAGGGAAATAATTTTCAGAATAAAATATAAACTTTTAAATAGCACTGACTGCTGGCCAGTGAGTAGTATTCTCAAATAATAGGTCATCAGACATTACCTTTATTAGTGTCTGGGAAATTTTCAAAGCTAAGATTAGATATCAAGTCACTACTTATGTGGCCTTTAAAAATAAAGTATCTGAACAGATACTAAATCCCCTGAGCAGAAAATAAAATTACTAGAAAGCAAGAACACATCAACAACAAAAACATGTTTTTCCATGGCCACATACCCCTTAGGTAACTCAAATGGACTGTGCCAACTTCACAGACCAGAAAGATGTCACTGAAGCTGGCCAACTTACTGTAAGCCTAAGGACATCTCAACCATGAAAGTTTTAAACAAGGAGGAGCACTGGGTAAACTCAAATGTTCTACCTCAATGAGTAGTTACATTATAAAATTCAAACAAACAAAAAAATCTTATGGAAAACTTGGTTGAGTCCTTGATTTTTAAAATGTACCAAACAGGTGGCGCTTGGGTGGCTCAGCCAGTTGTGCATCCAACTCTTAATATCTGATCAGGTCATGATCCCAGGGTCATGGGATCAAACCCCAACATGAAGCTCCATGCTGAGTGTGGAGCTTGCTTAAGATTCTCTCTTTCCCTCCACCCCTCTCCTGGACTCACTCTAAAAAGTTTTTTTAATTATTAAAATATAAATATAAAAAAACTAGGGGCGCCTAGGTGGCTCAGTCAGTTAAGTGTCCATCTCCTGATTTCAGCTCAGTTCATGATCTCATGGTTTGTGAGCTGGAGCTCTGTGTCGGGCCCTATGCTAACAGAGCAGAGCCTGCTTGGGATTCTCTGCCTCTCCTTTCCCTCTGTCCCTCCCCTGCTTGTATTTTCTTTATTTCTCTCAAAATAAATAAACTTAAAAAATTAAAAACTAAAACATTAAAAATAAATAAAAAAGGAAAAATTTATAAAATGCCAAACATAAACCCAGTGAAGACTGGAAAGAACCCCAAGAAACATTCAGATTTCTGAAAAAAACTCTCTAGAAAACATGTTATCTGTTGTTAAAAGGCACTGAATTATCAGATGCTATTTTGAAAACAGAACATATAATAATGCAATTATGAGTCATATATCAAAAATAAATATTAGGCACACAGTTTCTCAAATTAAAGAATTTCACAGAGATCCTGCCTGATAGTTTATGGAAAGCCAAATGGTAGATAAAGGATTCTACAATTCAGAATGTGCCACAAAGGAAAAATAAACTATGAAGAGGAAAATTATTTTTATATGATAAATGTCATGCAAAGAATGTACTTACAATATTCAGGATTATATTTTTTTAATTTTTTTAATGTTTTATTTATTTTTGAGAGAGAGAGAGAGAGAGAGAGAGAGAAAGACAGCATGAGCAGGGGAGAGTCAGAGAGAGACACAGAATCCAAAGCAGGCTCCAGGCTCTGAGCTAGCTGTCAGCACAGAGCCCGATGTAGGGCTTGAACCCACAAACCGTGAGATCATCACCTGAGCTGAAGTCGGATGCTTAACCGACTGAGCCACCCAGGCGCCCCAGGATTATATACTTTAAAATAGAGTCACTGCTTTGTAAAAGGCTTCTATGTCAAAAATCAATACTATGTGGGCCTGCACTGTCAACTTTCAAGGACAAGAAGCCTATTTCATTTCCTCATTTATAATTATGCCAACTCAAATATCTAATTTTAATGACGGCTTGTAGGTTTGTTTTCTGAGAAACATCAGAAGTTATGTTCTGAACTGTCCTGCAGGGTGGTACATAACTTCCATTTTCTTATGACTCAGAATGAACCAAAAGTGTTGTTTACCTGCCCCAAATACAATCTAAGATGAGTGGCAAGGTTATCTTTTCGGTATACCTGCAAAGGATGCTCACCTGGACCCACACTTGTGAGAAACAAAAACATGCTCATGATAACATATTATGTGTGGGTGAAGAATTCTTAGAGGATATGTGAAAACATATTCTAATAGCATGTAGGGTATTCACAAATTAAGTGGCACCAGGAAAGGCTGAATGAGTCTATCTTGCTTCTCTGTCTCCTATTGGTGATGAAAAATACTACCATGTATACACAAAGATCTTTTTGCAAACAAATTTTTACTTCTCTACGTTTTAGAAAGCAAGCAAGGAAGAACCTAAATCACAAAAGAAGCAATTTTAAAATCATGGGACATCCATACTGTAGAACATTGAGCAAGGAAAGACTTTTGTTACTGGCATAATGCAGAACAGATACCCAGAACATTTTTTTAACATTTTGCTAAGCAAACTCACACATAAAACATTCCAGAGGCCCCAAATAAAGTGAAATCAGGAATTGTGAAAGGTATAAAAAGTAGTAAATTTGTTATCAAA